GTTTACTGAGGTGACAGCTGGGGGAAGCTTTGAATGTTTCAAAATTATGGATAAATGCACAAGAAAAATCACCCAGATGAAAGCAAAAGCAGAAAGACAGAGACCAAAGTGGTTTTCTGACCCTGCATCTACAGATACAAGTTTCATTTAAAAGGAAATTCTGGTTCTTTTACTGGAACTTTTGAAGCTAGGTGTGCACAAACATGCCAAATCCTGCAGCCTTTCCACACCAGGAGCCTTCCTCCAGATGTTCCTTGTGTGCTCCTGACTTGCTGCCTGTTGGTTTCTTTCTTTTTTTTTTTTTTTTTTTTTCCTCTTTTTGAAGTGGTGTCCCATTTCCTGTGCACAAAGACCATTCCCTGTTTCATTCTGGGGCCAAATTGAAAATATCATGTTGATTTCTGCTTAATATCCAGCCCTGCTCCTGGTTGGCTCCAGCTCCCTTATTTTTACGGGGCCTTTTGGTCAGAAAGTGGTTTTACAGAGCAGACCGGCATCTGCCCTGAAAATGTAGATAAACAGCCTAATTGTAAATCAGTCTGGGCTGCTCCCCTCATTGAAACAAAATAAATCACACTGAAAAGTGAGATACAGCGTTGGCTCTCAGGGAAGAGCCTGCAGTTCTTCACCTGCCAGGTCACAGCCCCACATATGTTCTGCAGCCCCTGCCCTACCCCACAAGCGGGGATGGCCACCGTGGTCTCCCCAGAGCAATTCCCAGCCCATCCCTCCCTGAAAAGCTCAGCCAAACCATTCCTTTGGAGCACCACAGAGCCCCCACCTTTTTTCTGACCCTCGCCACAGATGTGCACGCTGCAGTGGATTATCAAAGCGTGGCCCTGTGCTCCAGAGGAGTGATTTGCAGCGGAAATGGGTTTGGCTCTAGCTCTGATTTGATCCCTGGAAATGGGCTGCTGACCCTGCCGACTCCCTGGGAGCGCTGCCAGCCTCTTCAAAGGGGCCGGGCCCTGCTCGGTGAGCTCACCTCTGCGGTTTGGCTTGCAAACACCGGTACGGGTGCCGGTCACCCGGGGAAGGCGATGGAGGAGAGCAGCGCTCAAAGTCCAAAGGGTGATGGTGCACATGGTGCATACCTGAGCAAATACTGCTGCAGAAACAGCGTGAACAAGTTCATTAAGCACGGCCCTGCCCTTGGCTGGGAAGCTGGATCAGCCCTGTGTCAACTATCGTGAAGGAGTGACAAAATTAAAGGTGTCCAAGAGTAAGGGACTGCGGGCTCACACGTGCCTCTTAAATATCACCTCCAGCTGCCACAGCCTTTCCTGACTTCCCCATGGTGCTGGGCACTGCCCAGGCTATAACTGTGGTGCCTTCCCTGGAGGAGGGAATGGTCTAGGGGGGGAAAATGGGATCAGCCCAGTGATTGTAGGGGATAAAAATAAGGGGAAGCGGTGTTAATGCAAAACTGGAGAGGTGGGCTGCCCTCAGGAAAGGACGAAGGAAGGGCTGACGGTGATGGTGCAGAGCTGGCGGGATGCAGGGCCTCAAATGAAGCTGGTGGGCCTGGCTGAGCCTCTTGGGATGACCAGGGTCTAGACTCAGAGCAGACATCCATGGGAGATGGCAGAAACCCACCCTGGGCTTGGCTCAGGCCCCTCTGTCCCAGATAGAGATGATGCCAGGGCAGATCCAGTGCTGTGAAGACGCCCAGAGCCAGGCCCCTAGGAACTGAGTGTTGGGAGCATCCCGTACCCCATTTGGGATCTGGGAAGTGGCAGGGAGTGCTCAGAGGGGCAAGATGGGGGCTGTCTCAGACCACAGTGGCCCCATCCCCACCGCGGGGGGGGCGATCCTTGACGGGCAGAGGAAACACGGCTGGGGAGGGGAGCGGGCAGACAGGACTGGGGTCCGCTCCTTCGGCAGCAGCAGCAGAGTGGAAGCCCTCGGCGAGGCAGCCCGCGGGGGAGGAACCCCCTCCCCAGAGCCTGCCCACCCGGGGCAGCCCGCAGGACGCTCCCGCAGTCTCGGGGCCCCCATCCCGCCGCCCTCACGGCGCAGCCCCGCGGGCACGGCGGCACGGGCGGGAGCGCGGCCCGGGGGGCGGGCGGGAGGCGGGGCGGGAGGGGGCGGCGGGCCGGGCTCCCCGGGGGAGGCACCGGAAGGCGCCCGGCGCTGATTCATTGCAATAAATTGTTCCCATCGCGGCGGGGCTCGGTCATAGCCGCCCGAGCAGCAGTCGGAGCAAGAGCCGGAGCCACCGCCGGAGAGCGAGGATGAAGATGCAAGCCGAGGTGATCCGCGAGGGCGAGCTGGAGAAGCGGAGCGACAGCCTGTTCCAGCTGTGGAAGAAGAAGCTGGTGGTGCTGACCAAGGACAGCCTCAGTCTCTTCCCCGACGGGCACAAGCGGGCCAAGGGCAAGGAGCTGGGCTTCGGCTCCATCCTCAAGGTGGACTGCGTGGAGCGCACGGGCAAGTACATCTACTTCACCATCGTCACCAAAGACCGCAAGGAGATTGACTTTCGGTGTCCGGACCAGAGCTGCTGGAACGCCTCCATCACCATGGCCCTCATCGACTTCCAGAACAAGCGGGCCATCCAGGACTTCAAGAGCCGCCAGGAGATGGAGCAGGCGGCGGGCACCCAGGAGCGGCGGCTGGCCCGGGCGCCCTGAGCCGCCCGCCCCGGCCCCAGGTGAGCCCGCCCGAGCCCTCGGCGCTGCCGCCGCCGCGCTTCCTGGGCTTTCCGCTTGATCCTTTACAATTCTTTGCTCCCCGGCGCCCGCTCCGCGCTCCCTCCGGGCCGCAGCCAGGGGCTCGGGGGGCACGGCCCTGTCCCGACCCATCGCAGGGGTCTGGCCCCTTCTCCAGTGCCTGGCGGGGAATTTCTGGTGGGAGCAGCGCTTCTGCAGTGTGCTGAGAGGACGATGTGGGGGTGGCGGGCAATAAGAAATGGCACTTGGCAGTGCTTTCCTCACAGAATCTGCTAAAAAAAATATTCTGTGAAAATAAATGCTCAGTGCTTACTCTCCCTTTCAAGCCCCCCTTTTTTTCCCTGGTCTTTGCTGTGCTGCTTGTTTAACTAACCCACTTCTCTTGCTACCTTTAGAGCATACCACTGGATGTTAAACCAGATCGAGTGTCTTGGACTGAAATGGGACAGGGTACCAATGAAGGAAAGCAAAGAAGAGAGCTGGAAGCAGCTTGGTTTTCTCCAAGCCCGTTGAGGCTGCTGAGCAAAGAGCCCCGAGCTTTGCCTGAGATGCATAAAGAAAAACCAAAGACTTTCATACAGGACTTCTAGCAAAGCGTCCACGTGTTTTGAGTGGCACAGCTTTGTGAACTATTATCTTCTATTTATGAGATGCAAGGAAGATTCAACACTGACTGGTGGTGTTAAACACAGTTTAAATTATTTGTAGTATCTATATTTGTATTTATTTTGTTGAATGTCTTTCAGCAGTTACTGGTCTTAATATTGCTTTTGCATTAATGTGTCCATTCCAAATAAATTACTTGAAATGTTCACTTTTTATTACTGTACTCTGGGCTGCAGTAACTTTTGTTGAGTCATATCTGTGCATACAGGCAGTGGTGAAGTGGCTTAAAAAGAGTGGGTAAGGCTTGGCTTTTTGGTGCCCTGGACTGGGCAGTGGGAGGTGGAGAAAGCCCAGATAACCTGTTTGTGTTTGACCTTGTCTCCCAACCAGGGAGGGAAAATGTGTTGAGGTTCAGTTCTGGTCAGTGGTGGAGATAGAAAAGCCTACCACAGCTTGCAGAAGTGCTCCTCTGGAAGCTCTTTCCCGCAGAATCCAGTAATGGCAGCTGCAGAAGGCGCAGGAGCTCCCTGCCACGGGAAAATGCTGCTCTGCGAACGCCCTGCGTCCTCCCCAGCCCCCATAGCTTAGTGCTGGGCTAAGGCACAAAACTGGATTCCTGGTTTCGGAATAAGAGCGCCAACGCTCCATGGATTCCTCAGCTTTGTAGCAAAGCAAGCTGAACTCGCTCTCCTCTCTTCCTTCACCTCTGCAGTCTCTAGACAGAGTTAAATTTCTCCAGGATAACTGAAGAATGGAGACAGGCTCTTTTCCCATAGCACCCGGACCAAGAAACTTGGAGAAAAATTAGCTGATTTTTTGGATAAAAGTGCTGAAGTTTTTTTTTTTTTTTTTGTGAGGCTCAATTCTCAATAACTAACCTGGGCTTCCTCAAGAGCAATGCTGCAGCACACGACTCAATTCTGGCAGTCAGGACTGTGAGCGTAGCACACAAAGTACTCGCTCCAAACTTGGTCATTTCCAGCAGGTAATTTCCCCTTCCCAATATCACGCAATTCTTGCACGAGACTTTGTACTAGAAGAAGTTGCAAAGTATGTAATTGCGTAAGCCTGTAGTAAGAGCAAGAGATACTCAGTAGAGGGAGGGGAAAAAACCTGGAAGGAGGGTTGGCCCAGTTTCTGGAAGTGGCAGGAAGGCTCTGGCACTGCAGCCTGGTACGTCGGGGCTTTGCATCCTCATTGCTTGTTGCTGGCAGCTCGTGCACAGGCAGGGTTGCACATGACTGAGCTGTGGATGTAGCAAACCTCTGGCCACAGCATTTGAAAGCCTTTGGCCTCAGTGTCCCTCTAACCTGAGAATGCTGGAGAAGCATTTAATGTACCAAAACAACGCTCAAAAGCAGATGTGTTTTACCCCCCGTTTTTTCTTGGTACAATTTCAGAGTGCTGAAATAAAAGGCCAAACCAGAGCAAAGGCACTGGCTCCTAATCCCTTCAGTTTCAGTGAATCCAAGCAGGAATGCTGCCTGACAACAGCTGAGGTTGGGGGCTGTTTCCTGCCATGACAGCCACTGCTGAGGGGGGGTTAATGGGAGGAACCCGATAGCTCCAGGGGTCCCATGGCCCCCAGTTGCTCCAGCATGGCTCCAAGACCTTTGCAAACTGATCTGTCCCATACTCTAGACACAAATATTGACAAACTGGAAGAATTGTTCAAATTGTTTTATTCTAGGTTTACAGAACCAAAAAAAAAACCCTCAAGAATTTATTTCTGTGGGAAAAATAAGGGGGTTACTTTCTTGCAACTGTATTATTGGCTTTTCATCTCTTCCAGTGGGATTTTACTCTTCAAGAGGTAAACAAACAAACCTAAATTGACCATTAGCTGTAAATAGCCAAAGGAGGACACTCCAAATTGTTTATATAAAATTCCACCAATGGTTGGACCCACTGTCCGGGTAAAGGGCTGCACTGAGGCACAGATCCCAAGCATGGCACCTAGGAGAGATGGCAGAGACACACAGGATGAGAGCAAGTCCTGGCATGGAAAAGCAGAGAAGAGCAGCAAGATCCCCTTCATCCCTGATGCTGCTCCCCTGCAGTAGTAGCAAATCACTTCAAATAATTTCTTGCATTAATTTATAGTGGTCCAACTAGGGTTTGTTCTGGTTAGGGACTCCTGCAGGTACAGGGACCAGTTTCCCCATGAACCAGCTCCCACCATGAACCAGCTCAGCTCTTCCCTGAGTGCTCTGGGCAATTGCAGCACTGCCCAAAAGGCAAAGTGGGTGCTTACCAGGGTTTAGGGATGTTTTTGGCACCAGAAGATGCTGCTGAATATCACACCTGGCAGGGCTGGTAACTACTGCATGGGATTAGGGATGGAGAGGTAATTTCTAGGGTCATGTTTGAGCCTTCCTAGCACATCACACAGATTCTTCCAATCTCCTAATTACCTGAGTGGGCCCTCCTCCACCCAAGCTACTACTGCCATTTATTCTCTAGTCTGAAACAGAGAAACAGCTCTCTAGCAGGAGCAAGAGGGTTAGGCCTAACTAGGTCTTTAAGAATAAATAAATAAAACCACAGATAAAGACAGAACCCCCTTGACATATTCCCCCACGCCCCTGTGCAAGAAGAGCGGATATTTCCATTTGGATGGATATGCGAGCCCTTGCCCGGCTGGGCCGGTTCCCCCTCCAGCAGCTCTCACATTTGCATCCTTAACAGGAACCCAGCGGATGGGGAAGCACCTCCACTTTGGCAAAGGCGAGGTTTTTTTCCACGTGCAGACGGATGGCAGGACATCCCCTGGGACACAAGGCTGTCCCACACACACCCAGTATACTCTTTTGTCTGGCAGTCTTTGTTCAGGACATGTTCAGCTGTCATGTTCAGAGGAGCAGAAAATTCCCGGCCAGCCAGCAAATCATTACCCCCCAACACTGGGAGGAACTGCAAGCTGGCAGTGTATTCAATAAACTTGTGCCCAGCTCTGAAATTATGTTTGCAATTATTTTTTTACTATCAGTATGATTATTTGGGCTGCTGGCATCAGTTTTCCACTAAGACACACGCTGAGGTGTTGTCACCACACAGCCAGGAAGGATGAGGAGAATGCTGTCCTGTTTGCAAGAAGTGGAGCAGGAGTGATGTTTAACGTGGGCAGCCACGGGGAAATGATCCCCAGCTCCCAGAGAGAACAGGCAGCCAGGTGTTCGTGTAATGCCGGGCAGCGACTGCTGGGCTTTTATCAGCGTGCTTAAAATACTTGTGCAATGAGCCCAAGCCAAGGGTGTAGCCATGTGGAGAGGGAAATCTCCCGGGAAGCGCTGCCGAGCGCTCCTCCCACGCATGGGAACACAAAGGCGATGGGTGGGACCTTGCCTTGACCCTTTGCCAATGGGAACCATCCCACAACCACCAAACTCTCTGGGCAGGTTTTGCAATTATTTTTCCCCCTCTAGGTATTTGAATTAAACTAATTACTACGTGCAATTGCCAAACTGGCTCTTATGATTGAGGAGGCACTTTTTTCCCTTTCCTTTTTTTTTTTTTTTTTTCTGGAGCAGAAACCATAGTCTTAAAAGCCTGGGCTCTCCCTCTGCACTTCTCCAACATGTTGCTGAGAAAGATAATTTCTGTTTAATGGGCTTAAATTAGATCCCTCGTCAGACGCCCTCAGGCTTTGGGACACTGTAAATCTCAGCTCTGCAGCACGGCCGGCCGTAGCTCTGTGGCAAAGCTGCACATGTGATAGATCTCATTTAAGGCAAGACCTTTAACTGGGACGAGTCACCGCCTCACCAGAAAATTTCCTGCATTGCTTCGCGCAGCTCTGCCAACGCACACGCTCACCTTCTTTGTCAGAGCTATCTCAGCTTCTGCACCTTCCCTGCTCTTTTTTCTCCCTCTCCAGCTTTTTTTTCGTTCCTTTTTCCCATACCTGGCACGACCTGTGCCGGCTGGGAGCCTATTCTCCCCTCCCATCCCAGATCTCCTCTGCTCCCGCAGGTTTCAGGGCTGGGTGCTGGCAGCTCTCCAAGACGGCGACTCACATCCTGTTGCCTCGCTCAGATGATGGTGCTGGCCCACATCAGCCACACGCCCATGGGGCAATCGGGTTTAACCATTAGGTCACTGTCGCCAGCGGCTGCCTTTGAACCTGCAAAGCTCCAGCAAAGCTGGGGGGTTCAGTGCCCCGAGCCCTGCCTGGCTGCAAACTCTCCTCCTCAGGTTCTGATGCACAAATAAAATCAGGACACACGGGCCCGTTATGCACAGAGGCTCTGCTGGGCTTCCTGCCTCCCTCCCTCAGGAACGGGGGGGATCTGTGCGGGAACAAGACCTCCATTCTTGGGGAAGGACCAGGGTTGACAAGGAGTGCTTGTGTGAGTGCAAGTCCCCCTGGGCTCCGGGCTGCCCTCCCACCAGCTCATGCGTCCAGCTGAGCAGCACGTGCGTCTGGGGCTGAATTTTCTCTTCCTGCCTTTGAAGATGAAGAGAAGGAAAAAAAAAAATCAAAGGGAAACTAATTAAATCATTACTGCTACCTTTGCTTCTGCGCAAAGCCTGAACTTTGAGAGCAAGCGCCAAACGCATCAGTCTCGGAAGGAAGTGACTTTGGATTGGATCTAAAGCAGGCTGATGGGTGCAAGGGATGATGCCGTGCCACCTCCCACTGCTCCCTTTCTGAGACGCCTGTTTAAAATGCAAGGATAGATGACTCAGTGTCTAGCAAGGGCAGACAGGCTACACTCCTGCAACGCCCCATCCATCCCAGCCCCGTGCTGAGATGGACACCTGAGCTCAGCCCAAACTCCAGCTCCATCAGAAAGCCTTTTCCTGACCCAAAGAAAAACCCCCATTGCTTCTACAGGCTGGAAGCTGACCAAAAACATCAGCAAAAGACAGCAGCAAGGCTCAGAAGTGATGCTTCCAAAGGCAAATTCTCAATGTGTGATTTCCTTGCATTAGGTAAAAGTTGTTTCAAGTGAGTGCTGAGGTTTTCAACACAGCGACAGTTTTTCATAAAACCAGATTTCCACACTCATGGTAAGGGTTTCTAACGTGCCACCAAAAACCTCTCTTTGCAGAGCTAGTCTCGGGCTCACAGAGGAAGGAGAAGCCTTTAGGCTGCTGTATGGGTGGAGTAGCCTTTGCGGGGTGCCACCCACGGCCAGGGATGGATGGCAGGCATTTTAATGGCTGCATTTCTCTGTGAGACACCCACGCCATCACTGCTGCAGCTGCTGTGGAAAGGCAGCCTGCTGGCTCTGCTGTGTCAGGCATTCCTGCCTTCGCCCTGGTCCCTGCCCGGGTACATCCAAAACAAGCACAGGACCATTAGTACCTCTTCCCCCAGAAATATTGCAAGGAAAAGCACAGTTTGAAAGGTGTGGGCCAGGAAGGAGTGGCAGAGACAAGGTTTCCCCCCAGTGCCACAATGCTCTGTTCCAGAGCGTCCCTCTTTGGTATGCCCAGTTTTGAGCCAGCTGTAACTCTGCATTTGTAGTAGCACTTGGCATGACATCAGCCCAGGAGGGACAGGCAGGGGAAAGTCCTCAGTAGCCCATGGCATCCCCTGATGACCTGCAACCTGCTCCTGAGCATCTGCACAGCTCTGCAGACTGCCTCCATCCTGCCCTGACAAGGGGAGACCATCCATCGCACCGAGGCACAGGCTGGCCTAACAACAAGCAGGGAGCAGGGTGAGGCAACTAAACCCATTTTCCTCCCTGACCAAAGCTTGCCTCCGGGCTCCAAAAGCTAAGCACTGCTCTGGTTTTCCTCACAGAACCCTTTCGAGAAGAACCTGGATGAATTCCAGCTTGGTTGTGTGTCCCAAAGCTGCTTGGTGCCCTTCCCCGCTGGCTCTCCCTCATGTGAACATTGCTCCAAGACATGAAGCAGCAAATTTTCTCCCTGGCTGAGCAGAGGGGCTGAGACTCTTCCCAGGGAGGTGAAGACTGGGGATAAATGGTCCTTGCAGGTGGAAATATCCCAGGTGAAAATCACAAGCTCCCAGCACTTGTAGGAGATGTAGTGGGCCAGCTCTACAAATAAACTACTCAAGTGATTTTCAGAAAAGCTCTTCACCCAGAAACATCTCAAAAGTGCTTTATAAACTTCACTAATGGGCTGTGCAGACTACAGGTCCCATTCTTGGTAGGGTCTGCACAGAGGTATCTGCTCAGACAGCTGCTAGGAAAGATGAAGGGTGCAGACTGGCATCCCAGAAAGCCTCAGCTAAAGCAGAGACACTCTTGGGTACCTGCTCTGGGAGCAAACCCTGAAAGGGCTTGAGCAAAAGACACAAACCAGGTTAAGCCAGCTCTATCCCTGCACAAACTCAGCCAGGCTCCCATGACAATAATGTAGGCATATTTCCTTCATCAACAGAACTAAAGCCCCAGGTATAGAGATTTAAGTGTCTACCACTGCTGTCTTGCACAGAAAAATACAGGAACTCTTCTGAAACAAGGCCAAAACAGAGAGGGGGTTATTATAGCATCAGGCAAAGCATGTTTGCAAAGAGTAATCCAGAATCCCCTTCTGAGATACCCTAAGTTAAAAGATGTGAACAAGCAGCCCTCTCTGACAATGTCACAGTGGAAGGGCAGTGTTCTTTGGGGGTTTTTAACATACCTTGGCTTTCCATGGAAAAGAGAGCTTGAGAAAGCCTTCCCTTTCTGTGCCCACCACTATGGATGTCAGCAGGCAGCACAGGACTGGGAGCACTGGGTCGTGGCATGTTTGCCCAAGGCTGTTCAAGTCCATTGTGTATTAGCCCCAGCAGTCCTGCTCATGTGCGCTGCTGACACCCATTGTGCGCCCACCTGGATCTGGGTGTTCACCCAGTGCTCCACAGCTGTGGTAGGAGCTGGGAAGTGCCCAGCGGACTCAAAGCTGAGAAAATACCAGTCTGACCTTTTTTGATGAGTCTTACCAGTGTCGGAAGAGGGCACAGCCTTGGTGAGGATGCTGTCGGTGATGGTGGCCAGCATGCTGAAGGCAAACACCAGCGGCGCCGCAATGATGCAGTAGTGCCACACCGTCCTCATCAGGGCCTGAGGGACAGGACACAACAGACCACAGATCATTAAAGAGCACAAACGGTGACTTTGTGGCAAGAAACAACCTGGAGGAAAATCACGAGTCAAACCCATGACTTAGGGAAATGGTGGGAGCCACAAATGATACGTGGTGGTGCGGCTTTGGCCGTTGTGGGGTCTTTCACAGCCGGCCATTTGTCTGCAGTGAATTATTCCAAGCATGCAGAGCAAACGATACCCTACAATCTGGCAGCACGTTTCCCCGCACTGCTGTGGGTATTTTTAGCATCTGGGAATTAGTGACGTCCCTTCCCCCTGTCTTCTGTCTTCTGTCCAACTCCTGAGGAAATGTTGAACAGCAGATGTATGTGGTGTACTTCAGGAAGCTTCCATTACTTATACAAAACAGCCTAGAGAAGGCTTTTTGGTTCATTATCATAAATAATTAAAACTAAACCGAGCCTGTCAAAATAAATGAGCATGGTGCATTATGTAACACCGTACCTTTGGGATTTCTAATCCTGTTCTGCTGCTTCCCTGCTAATAAATTCACCAAATTCAGTAATCTGGAATAGGTCTTCTGGCCATGAGTGCACATTAGCGAGCATAATTAGGGAGAGTAATGATTTTGTTATTGCACATATTCTTAGCGGAGACATCCCTCCAGCTGTTTAATGCTGAAACAAAAGCGGTGAGGCTCCCTAAGCTGTAGGGCTGGAGCGGCTCCCAGCTCATTCACAAGCCCTGCTGGTCAAATGAATGGATTTCTCTGGGGCATGGAAAGGAAATTCCCCCTTTACTGCAAGTCTTCTGCCCTAACCCATGTCTCAAGGTGTGTTATTGTGGATGGAAAATATTTCTGTCACTGGTTTAGCCAGAAGTTTCATTCTCTGGAGTTCTCTGTCCTAAGATCTGGTCCCTGCCTCTCGGCTACAGAAGATAGAGGAGCCCAGAGACATTGCTCACTAATGACTTGGAAATGTTGAGGTTTATTCCTAGTTCCCCTCTAGAGTTACGTACAGCCAGGTTTTTCTCCTCAAAGGGGCTCTTTGCTTACATTTTGGTTAAGATCTAGGCACTTCTGATTAAGGAACCAGAGAACAAAGACAGAGGAACAGGTATTTGGTACATAAACAAAAGGAAGGAGAGTAATTCCTTGCTAGGGCAAATGTCATTGCAGGACAACATTGCGGAGCTCATAGAAAAAATCAGTTTTAATTCCTCCTGCTTTGTGCAGACTCCCTCATGGGCTGGAGCAAGTGAGCAGAAAAGAGCTGAGGCATATCTTGTGTCTCCTGTAAAACAAGGGAAAACGGCTCCTCACTTCCCTGGGGCTGAGGGAGGACCGAGCCAGGCAGAACCCAGTCCTTGCTACTCCTCAGCTGCTGGGTGGTGAATAGTTTTTTTGAGGTGAGCAGATCTGAAAGCATTTTTTAGGTGAGAGGCAGAATCAGGAGTCTCAGCAGACAACTCAAAAAAACAAATGCCTGGGAAATGCAGGCAGGATGAGGTACAGCCGTGCCTTCAGACAAGGGGAAAAACTTCCCCATCACAACTGCCAAGCCCTCCTACAGCCCTGCCCACGCTCTCCCAGCTCACATCTGCAGATCAGACACTGGTTCTTCCCTCCTCTCCTTATCCAGGTGTTGTTGCCAAACTCCCAGCCCACCCCTTCCCTTCTCCAGCTGCCTGTTGCTGGGAATATCCTGCAGCCTCTTCCCAGCTGCAGCGCTGCTGCTTGTGCCAGCCTTCCAACAATGCTCCAGCCCACCTCCCCTCCCTGTGATATCAGGATGGGTTCTGGAGTGTCTTTTATTAACAGCTCGCCTTTCTCCTCACTTCCATCCTTTGGGGAGAGAGAAACTGCTGTGTTTGGAGGCCACATGCTGCAAGGGCACAGCAGGTGGGATGCTCCCCCACCAGCAGCTGTGAAGGATTAAAAGCTTCAACCAATAACTTCTGCATTTGGGGCTGCTGCTGTGACAGCACTCATCCCCACCGAGACAGAAAGCCACCCCAGAAGCGGATGTGTTCTTGGCAGCCACTTGGACAGAGCACTTTTTAACAAGGCATCCCAGCTGCATTTGCCTATGAATAGCTCTCATGGGAAGTCACTGCTGACCCTTGTCCCCAGGCCCGTGCTGTTAGGATGTCCACAGCCCTCCAGGCTTGGCATAATTAGCAGCTCTAAGATGATTTCTCTTTCTGGCTCCTGGTTCTCCTCCCTGTGCAGCCAATGTGAGCCTTCCTGCACTGGGACATCTGTGCTGCCCTGTGTGCCTCTCCACTGCCACTAAGGCATTCTCCCCTACCTTCACCTGACTCCAGCCTTCCCTGGAGGTCAGTGACACCACAGTGCACAAAACCCATATAATTCATGTTGCTGCTGTGCCTGATTCCCATGGGACTGGGCTTCAGCACAGGGATTCAGTCCCAGCAACACCTGCCCTGCACCTGGCTGGGGGTGCTCATGTCTCCAGATGGGCCAGGTCCACCTTGGTCCCACCTAATTGCTCTCACCCATGACCAAAAACCAAGGGGGAGCCCTTCAAAGTCCTTCCCAGGCCACATTCAGGAGCATGAAAGCTCTGTGCAGATGTCCCATGTTAAAGGGGCATATTTCAGCCCAAGGACCATGACACCAATTGGAAGAGACCCTTCCCAAGCATTTTACACCTGACAGAATCCCCTGGAGCCTCAAAAACCTCAGGGAGAGGGACCATGCTCCACATGCAGAGCCAACTCTTGGTCTGCACCCATCCTTCCCTTCAGCCTCATCTCAGACACGATTTAGCCTCAGATTAGCTAAGGTGTGTAGGTGCCTCATCTCATCCATGTAGCTGGGAGCCACAAACCTCAACACCCTCCAGGACTTGGCCCTGACCTCCCCACAGCTGCAGTACGGTTGTGGGAATGGCACTCATCCTACCTGCAGCAGTGGGAGCACCACCAGCATCCTGGCAGCAAGGCTCAAGGCCAAATCCCGCAGGGAATGTTGAAAGGCTGATGCAGCCTTTGGTTCCACTGCACTGACAGGGACTGTAAGCACCTTTCCTCCATCCCCGTTGGCTGGGCAGAGCTATCAGTGCCCTGAATGTGGCTTATCTGAGCAAACACAGTTCCCAGCACAGCTACTTACATCCACTCAGTTTTCCAATTACTGTTTGAGATTGGCATCAACCGTCGCCCATGTAGACACAACCAGCAACAGCTAACATCATTTATCCCAAAATGGAGGAACAAAATTACTGCCTTGCTACCTCTTTCCCCAAATACTCTCACATTGGGGGATTAGACAAAAATAAATCCCCAGAAGGAGAGTGCACAACCTCTGCTGCCTCACTGCAATATACAACTGCAATGATTTTTCCCCACTGTAATCTTCATTTACTTTCTGGGTAGTCCAGGAAATGCAGTCGCTGACAAGACCAGGCCAGGATTTCTGTGCAAATCTGGTGACTCAGGAAGGACTTAGCGAGTTTCTGTGCAAGATTAATATATTTTTTAATCCCCATAACTATTACTCACACGGCTGTTTATCACAGCTTGGCGCAATGCTGACGTTGAGCGTGGCCCTGTTTGCGCAGAGGCCCAGGAGAGCTGGTTTGTCTTGCCCTGAAGACCACCTGAGAGAGCCAGAGGTGGCACTTCCAGGGGCAGAGCTCACAGCCAGGTCTCATAGACCTTGTGTCACTGCTTGTGATGTTATTAAAGGCATCGTGAGTGACTTCCCAGCCCACTTACCATGCCTAGACCCACGCCAGCAAAGACGAAGACACTGAGTCTGAGCAGGGTCATCTCCGAGCAGCGACTAGCGAGTTTCCCAACCACCAAACCCTGGACAACCTGGCAAAGAAACACATAAGCACCATTAAGCCTGATATAATATAATAATTTAAACAAACTCAAAAGAGAATTGCTACTTTCTTCGAGCAAACAGGGTCTTCCGTCAGGGTTTCTTTGACAATAAAGGACCTCACTGCCACAGTAAATTGACTGGAATGTGTGATCCATTATTTCAAATGTTTTGCTTTCTAAAGAGAGATCCATCCCATCACAGCTGGAAGTTTTACTCAGGGTGCATGCCTGAGTTTACCATCACTGCCTACTCAGCAGCAGTGACTGAAACTTTCTAAAGACGCTTGCAGACACAACTTGTGATGTGTTTGTGAAATACAGTTAATATTACGGTCTTCATTTTTGGCAAGACCTCTCAAAGAAAAACTGTACGTTTGTAAGCAAAGGAGGAAAAAGTCTGTACCTTCTCTTGCCATTATTTTAAACTATAAATATACAAATTGGGTGGTTCATAATTTTTAGGCAGGAAACAAGTATGACGGAGATGCTAATATCCAGTCCCGGCAGTATACGCAGATGTAAAGGATGGGGAACTGGTTCTACAGATTTTAAACAAAAACTGGGGGGGAGGGGGAGGGAAGGAAGAGCAAAATATTAAAATCCCAGAAATTATTTTACTTTTCCAGCACTTTTCAGAGCACGGATTCCTTCTTTTATTTATCTGTTCAGCATCTCCCATACTTCAGGTGATCCTGGCCCAAGCGGACATGAGAGGAGAGATGCTGGAAGAGATCATGGTTAAACAGTCTGACTGACTACAATAGAGGGAAGGGACTGATAGGGATCTACTGAGTTTTTCCTACCTTGAAAGGCTTTGTTTGATCCAAATGAAAACCCCTCTGACTTGAAAGAAAGCTCTAGTTCAAAATGCTTTGTTTCACTTAATTTCTGTGGCAGTCCAACCTGGAGAAAACTTCAGCAGTCTGTTTGGACCAGGAATGACACTACACTACACTCAGCCTTGTTGTGTTAGTCCTTAGGCAGAAACCCAAAGTCAGTAGAAAGGAAGTGAGTGCAAAATAAATGAGAAAGTAAGTTATTAAACAGAAATGATATGTTAATCTATAATAACCAGTCAAAAAAAAAAAAAAAAAAAAAAAAAGCAAACAGCAATAGAGTGAAAATGAAATTGACATAAAGAACAATAGCTACAAAATTAATATATTTCCAACAGCATACAACTGAATGGGAAACCATCAAAATTCAACCCTTCACTATGCTTCAGAGCACAAAGGATTTTTGACACGAGGGCACACCACACCAAGAAGACATTCTGGCTCCTGCCTCCTTTTTTGTCATTGTCCCTGCCTTTGGCCAGGGCTTGAGAGTTTGGCTCACGTGTGCCCAGCTGCCATGTGCCACTGGCACAGGCTCTGCGTGTCCTTCCCGGGTCATGTCACCTGTCAAGCATCCCTGGGACAGGAGGACCTGCTGTGGCACGAGGCTTGGACAGTGCCTAGGGTGACCTGAGTCATCATGACCAAAAGCCCTGCCATGAGAGAAGGCTGATACCAGCCCCAGCAGCTCCTACTCCGGGGGTGGGTGGGGAAACCACTGAGTGACGCTCCATTAAGCTGAGTGCTCCAAAAAGGGAGAATCGTCATTAACTTTTTGCAACGTCCCAGTCCCTCCTACAGCTGGGCCTGTGCTGAGTCACACGGGATGGGGGCTGAGCCTTGTCACAGGGCATGGATTGACTCAAGGGTGGCATCACCCGAACCTCAGTTTGGCTCTGCTGAGCCATTGGAGGAAAGGAAACATTTCCCAATTCGCCCAGACTTGAATGGCATATTTTATTGGGATACACCGTGCAGGCACAGCCCAGTCCCTGCCCTTCCTTGACTCATTAGGGTATAGCATCAGCAACGTCCCTGCTCTGATGGCCATGGGAGTGGCATTCCCAAAAACGTTGCCATCACTGCACATGAGCCCCTGTGTGAAGGCAACAAGCACCACTGCAGCAGAGACAGGCTCTGAGCAGGCAGGACCTGGAGATGTGCAGAATGAGCTGTCCTCAGAGTCAGCAGAGCAGAGGGATTGTCCTCGTGCCAATGCTGGCATTCCCCATGGGCTTTCCCACCACTTGGACTGTGGCAATAAAAAGCTCAAGGTAAAACATCACTGCTGAATCAACCAGCTTGGCAAGGGGACTATTTCCAAGGGCAAGAATGAGCCCAAGTCACCTGCTTTCCCCTTAGGGCTGGGCAGCAATCCTTAGGTTGTACAGATTTCAGTCCCCCCACGGGCTATCTGGGCTGCCTGCCTTCCTCCCCAGCAAGGGCACTGCTGATCCAACCATGAAGCCCATGTAGGCAAGGCCCATCATCCTGATTTTGGACACAGAGCCTTGATTTAGGCACTAGATAATTTTCCAGTCACCAGTAAGTCTGACCTCACTTTCCAGTCTGAATTTAGACCTGAAAACCCATTACTTCCAGTCTGCAATTTTCCCTGAGCTCCTGGGCTGGCATGAGCAGCACCTGCCTGCACAGGCACATCTGGGAAGGTGAAAGGTGGCTCATGTGCACTCTCCCATCTCAGATTTTGGACATGTGCTGCTGGTTACATCCCAGGTGACTTGGCCATCACCACTACCATGGACAAGTTCTGGTAGCTGATAAATGGAATTTATCCTTCTCTTTATTCTTACTGGTGTGTTCTGGGCTTTCTTCTTGCACATAAACTCCCCTTGAGATCAACTGCAATGGGCCTTACCCTCCTGCATTTCATTTTGCCTGGATGGCGCTTGCCTTTGTAACCTGACCTCCTTTGAAGTCGGGGAAAAGCCAGTGTACCTGGCTGGAATGCCTTCTGCCATCAATAAACAAAAGAGAGAGGAAATTGTTTGCAAGTGAAATAACAGGCACTGCCTGTGGCTGTGTACATATGTCACAGGAAAAACCAACTCATCTTTTTTTCCGCCCCCTTCTCCTTCTTTAAAGGCAAATAAGTCTTCCAATAAATGCATAAGAACAGCCAAATCTCTGTTCATAATTTTCTGCGTTCAGCAAGCTGGGGATTTGTTACACTAGTCCAGTAAATCACATGGAAAAATACTCTCTTGCCTCTATCACTGCATTTGGTTTCTGGGAAAACAGCTGCTCCCATTTGCTCAGAAAGGCCAATTACCCATTTGACTGTTAACCTCTAACAAATTTCAGGAACCCCTTCTTGCAGGATGGAAAAGATTGTATTTGAAAGTCCAAGGTGATAGTTTTTGGAAGGCTTTTGAAGCACCAGCACGGAGCTGCTGCTGAGCTGACTGGCACCTGCAAGAAGCTGCCCTCACCTGTGGAGGTCAGAGGAGTTGTCCAGATGCTCAGCTGCTCCTCTGAGCTCAGAGGATGTGGGACTGTTGCTAAAGATTCCTCCATCAGCAAGGATTGAAAGCTTGATAGAGCCCAGCAACAAAATCAGTTCCCTTTCACCCGACAGCTTGGAAATGGAAAGCTGTGAGAGGTCGGAAAGGCAGACACAGCAGGCCAGATAAGCTGGTACAGCCTCGTAGAGGAGATGCAGGGGCCCATCCCTAGCAGAGATAGCATGATTCACATCAGAAGCTGCCTCCCACGCCCTGGACCCGTATCTCGCCTTTGAAATTGTGCCGGCTGGCAGTTCCCAGGCGGGCCAGGCTGAGAGGGACCTGCTGGGGCAGACCACGGGGGTCAGCACAGCCCACGGGGCTTTTCTGCACAGGCTGAGCACGGTGCAAAGCCCGTGCTGGGGGAAAAGGGAGCTGGTTTACTGACACAGCGATGCCAGAAAGTGCTTGATAGTTCAGGTCTTGTGGAGGAGCAGGAGGGCGGTGGGACTGGAAGGAGGGCTGATGGTGAGGACCAGACTGCTGAAGGCAGCACTTTGCCAAGAAGGGGGAAGAGGACGGTGTGTTTTGCAAACTCCAGCCTAATCGCTTTCTTTCCCCCTCCAACACACCCCCCTCCACAGATATAAATCCTTCAAAGCAAGGAAACTGGAGAACTTTCTGTTTGTTGTTGCAAGGTCCTTTCACTAAGTGGGTTTTCCCCCTAGGCATACCTGGCTGTAATTAAATCCCTGGCTCTTTAATCATCTCTTTTGCTGTGTAGGGAGAAAAAAAAAGCGAGAGGGACAGACTGGTGATAAGATGATACGCAATGTAAATCTCTCCTCCAGGAATCTCTCTCATCTTTTCAGGATCACTCCGTACCAACTTGTCCCTCCAGAAGCTGCACAGCTAGAGGTGGAGTTTGTATAACAATACAAATTTAAATGCAGTAAATAGAACAGATGTCTTATGATTTCTTGATCCTCAGGGTTATAAATATATACCCCTTTGTCCCACCCAGAGTTTTGTTTGGTGCATTTTGCTTTGGTTTTTTTTTTTTTTTTTTTCTGAGCAAAAGTTCTTAAAGGAAAGTTTCCCCCACCCCCTCCCATGGTTTGAAATCTAAGCATCAGATGTGACTTCAGATATCAACTGGGGACTCCAGGTATTTCACTTGCCTAATCCTCCAGCAGCATTTTTCAAGCCACATACTATACCTGGAAGGTCTCTATGCTATCACACTTGCAAACTCCAAAAAAAAAAAAAAAAAAAAAAAGTGTAGGTTCATATCTGCCCATTACTCAAAATGAAATAATTTTAAACCATTATGAAATTAATTATTCTCTGGAGAGAGATTGAATGGCATTTCACACTGCCAGGCATTCACTATCAGGGAAATCTCATTTGCATGGCTTCTCAGATGAGAGGGCTCTGGAAGCCCAGCCCTGGAGGACAGAGGGATTGTGTCCCTGACGGGCTCTCATAACCCTTGCCTGGAGACCTACCAGTGATCGGATAAAGATACTTCAAGCACATCATGAGCAAGGGAATCTCTGCAGTGCAGGCTGCCTGGTGCAGAGGCAGCTCCCCTGCTGTCTGCCCTCCTCTCCTCATTTTGTTATCTCCCACATGACTTCTCTTCACCTGGCACAGTCCCAGCTCATCAGACAGCCCCACACTTTCAGGGTGCTCCAAGAATCACTGCAGAGACCTGGATTGCTTGAATCAGCCCCATGTGCTATTTTCATTTCCCCAGCTGTCCATTCCAGCCTCGGTCATATTCCATTTTCTGAGCCACAACTCTGTTTCCTCATCAGACAGTTCTTTGTCTCAATGCTGTCTCACTGCCTTCCCACACCCCCTTTCCTGACCTTGCCTGGCTGTGTCCTGACCCAGACACGAGCCCCCTTCCCACCCTCACTGCACTTCACCCTGCCCAAACTTTCCCATATCCCCTGCTGTTAGATGATGCTCACCACAGGCTGAGGTGAGGCTGAGGAGCTCTGGATGGGATCCCTCAGTGATGCCTGAATTAGTGGTGTGTCTAAACTAACACCCTCCATCTGCAGAGAGGGCAAACACCTCACTTCCTAGAGGGTCTGTGTTTCTGTGCCGATTCCCTATGCAAAGAGCTGTTTGGGATAGCAATGACAAAGAACTTGAGTTACCTACTTAAAATTAGGTGGACTGACTCAAAGCCTCTCAAAATCTCATCTCTAGGTACTCTGCAGCTGGCTTGAATGAGAGGAATGAGGAGAAACAGATTCTTACAGTGCATTGGCCACTTCTCACCACAGCAGGTCAAATGAGGTTGGGAAGCTGAAAAACTAGATTAAGCAATTGGAGCATAATATCCTTGGGGTGGGAGAGGAAGGCAGGAAGACACCATCAGTATTTGAGTCATCCTGGGATTGCTGATCAGGCTGGGAAAGGGAGCTGCAACATTGCCTTCTATAAGAGGAATATGTGAGTTTTGAGAATATTTAATTTAAAAATTAGAAACTACAATAACACAAAGAAATAATTTCCCCCTTAATTTCTTTCATGTCCCCTTCCAGCTATAAAAGTCCTTAAACACTATCTTTTTCAAGTCCATGAAGAGATGCAAACATGGGGGACAGGTTTCCTCTAACAGAAGGGCTCAGGGCAAGTCCAAGAGGATGGGAAAAACCTCACAATGATTTACAGAAGGACAAACTAAAGAATAAAAACAAAAATCAAAGCTGAGTATCTGGCTGATGAAATTCACTGAAAATTACATTGTATTCCTTATGAATAAAGCTGTCATTTACTCAGTGAAGTGGGGAAGCCAGTCAGCAGATATTAATCATCGTTCACCTATCCAGATTGGTGGAATTCACTTGCACCTTAATCTGCATTTGTATCTCAGCAGTATCAATTCACTGTACAGCAGAAACAAATGCATCTGAAATGCCAGCTTAGGCAACACAAGCAGCTCTGGGGCTCAGCAGGACAGAGCCAGCACACTCCTATTCCCTGCCTGCTAGAGCAACCCAAACAGAAAGCAGCCATAAAACATTAACGCAGACACCATACACAAAAGATATCTTTGGGTGGTTCTAGACAGATACCTGAAAGTAAAGACATGAAATCTAATGTTTTACAATAATTTAAAAGCCAGAGAGTGAGAGTTCAGTTTGGTCCAGTTGAGGATCTTGTCTGCATAAACCAGAGTAGAGTTTGGAACTGCCACTGTAGGATAGGCTTAGCAATATGGATAGAAACTGCATGCATGTATGAAAGAAAACTGTCTGGCTGATAAAAGCCTGATAAAAGCCAGTTTCTGTGTCCAATGTCCCAAGGCAAAGACTCCCCAGCAGAGTATCCGATGCTGCACCTGAGCCTGCAGGGCTGGACTGCGGCAATGGGAATGATTGGCATCTGTGGGATGAAACTCTGTGACCCGATGCTGCACCTGAGCCTGCAGGGCCCTGCTGGGCTGGACTGCGGCAATAGGAATGATTGGCATCTGTGGGATGAAACTCTGTGACTCTGGGAAGGGTCAGGTCCCTGGTTAGCCCTGGCATCTGACCATCCATGAGGAAGAAGAGTGGATGCTGTAATTCCTGTATCTTCCAGGGCTGTGTCTCTGTGTGGGGTATCCCAGCAGGGCAGAGGAGGTAACCTTATCTACAGCAGTTTCAACCAAACTAACCTGGGGAACAATGGCACTGAAGGCAGACAGATATTCCAGACATAACAGCAGTGTCCCCAAGACAGATATCCTGGACCCAGCAGCAGAGTCTAGGCTCCATCTAGCCACACAAAGGCACTCCTTACAAGAGCTCTTGCTGCCCACGTTGCTCAGCTCTAAACAAGCACACCACAGCCATGCTGCAACTCCAGATTTTATTTCTGCCTATGTAACAAGGGTTTAACTGGTATGTCTTAAGTTAAAAGCCCAGCTGTGGGGAGTCCTTCTGCATTCAAATGGGGAAGAAGATATGGGACAGTGACTTGGCCCCTCTAAAACCTAAGTAATTCCTGTAGATCCTAGGTCTAGGAGGCAGCATACAAGGCTAACATAGGGAAAGCCTCTGAAAGCAGTGGACAGAAGCTTAGGTCAGAAGCTTGCTTTGGAAAGCAGCAGCTGATCACCCACTTTTCACACTGTTTCTATACTGTGCACTGGTAAACTGGTCTTCTTTCCAAAGAGGCTGGGACTGCATTCAGCAGGTTGGAGATGTCCACAGGACCAAGAGACAACTAGTCCAAAGCCACCTCACAGGAGGGGCATGGCAAAGGCACCATCTGCTCAGCTCCAGCCAGTTTACACTGCAGAATCCAGCTGCTGATGTACAGCCATGCCTGTCTGCTGCTCTAACAAGATGCCCAGATTTGGTGAGAGCAGGCCAGAGCCCAAGTGACTGGCAACACCATGCCAAATCCAAATCACAAAGGAAGAAGCTTAAGCTGCCATTCACCAAATGAGAAGCTCCCACAGGAACTCTGTGGCAATACCCAGGAAATGAAGAGGATTTAATAACAAGACCACTCTCCTTCAGGATATTGCTTAACTTGCATTCCTACCTTGGGGCTTGGTTATAACCGTCTGCTGCTTTTTCTGCAAAATCATTAAGCCTCTTCCTCCAAAAGGAACACTCTGCTATAACACAACACTGCACATTCTTGACCCTATTACTGCCTATTACTGCCTAATTCAGCTGACTTTTCCCTTTTATCCATTTGCTAGTCTCCTAACCATGTTCTGTCACCCATCTTTCTGTGCTTTGTTGTTGGGGGGTTTTTTTTGTTTTTTTTTTTTTTTTTTTTTTTTTTTTTTTTTGTTTTTTTTGTTTTGTTGGTTTTTTTTGAATCACAAGCTTGCTGTGCGTGTTTCCATCCAGCAGAAACAAGTTCTTCTACACTGAAGGGATCTTCAGTGAAAACACCAGTAAGGTTGTCTGCTTTCCTGAGTGTACCCGAGTGCTACTATATGAACACAAATCAACTAACCTGCACCAGGAAAAATCTCAGCCAAGGCACTTTAGCTTCAATGTAAGTTTTGTTACAAAACCCAGGACATACCAGTCCAAGGAAATTTTAGCTCTACAGCTTAAAGATCCACAGAGAGGGACAAGGGGAAGAAAGCTTTCAGGACACTCCTTGCTCCAATTTCTTCCCATTCCAAGGAAGAGAATAAATTTGGAGTCACTTCTCTTTTTGAAGCTAAATTCCATATGGTGGAGCTAGGATTTGCCTGTCAATAATGCACCTGGATTTGGAAGAGCATGTGTCCAGAAGGTAGTGAATTAGGTAGCAGTGTGGCAAGCTAATCTGTCCAAGAAGGGGATTTGCACCTCACTTACCATTTGAAGGACACCAAAATATGACATCAGATATCCAGACTCCACTGCTTCCAAGCCAAAGAAATCCATAGAGATGATGGAAAACATAATCATGAACAAACCTGGAGGGAGGGTTAATGCAAAGAGTACATCAATACACTTGCAGTGCATGTAATAGCCCAAACCCTGCTCCCAATCACCACCAGTCCAAGTCAGTAGCTCTCCCTGGGTTTGCCAGCACTAGGTATAAACATGAGCACAATCTTATTCAAAGTCATTGTAGTAATTTAATCTTTAAATGTTAACTTTTTTATCCCCCTTACTTTCATCTTTAAGTAATGTGACTATGTAGGCTGTAGTTTCAGCTGTTAATTATAAACTGGTAAATATTTGTATCACTGAAGCCAGGCTAACCATTAAGACAGCAAGAAAACATTTGTTCAGACAAGACTGTAACCATAAAAATAATCTGATTGGATTCCTCACCCCTTTTGCCTGACTTCAGATATTCACTGTGGGGAACAGCCCAGTGACATCAGCCAAAATGCAGTGGTTTCACTGCACATCTCAGCAACGATGTCTGGGGCACGTGAAAAATCTCTTGTGAGGACTGGTAGCGATGTCATCACTAGCAGTCAGGAAAGTATGGGCAAAAAGAGCACGAACCAGGTCTGCTTTTCAATTGAGGCAATTTCTGGAAAGTGTAACAGAGAACATCCACTCAACCTCAAATGAAAATACAATAGTGTGTGTTTTCCCCACTGCCAAACATACACAAATACAGGCGAGCTTGCACATGCTCCCAATCTCACAGAGAGAGCCATCAAATGAAAAATATTATGTCAAAACACTGCACTGCAAGTGTGGTGTGGGGTAAGAGTCTGCTGCTTCCCCTTGTGCACCTGAGATGGACCAAGTCAGTAGGAACTTGGGGCTCTCTGCGTGAGAAGAACCCCACGATGTGCCTGTCAGAGATCACTGATCCTTCTGGGAGACAAGAGACCTGATGACTTTTAGCAGTCCTGCCTTTCCTTGTAAGATCCTCTGAGTTAAAAAGACTGGGTAGGAAGGGAGCCCTGTTCCTCTCCTTCCTGAGAAAAACAGAATGCAAGAGGCAATGTATGAGGACTAAGACAGCTGGTGGCCTGGCAAAATGACATGGCATGGGGAGGATTTGCCAGCTTTTCCTGGAAGGATGAAGAGGGTGATTCCAGATTGCTGGTTAAAACACTGTTAAAACACTGGTTAAAACACCACGGAGGACTCGCTTCCTAAGGAACAAGAACGACTCCACTGCATCCAGCAGCCCAACCCCAGCGCCACCAGTGCAGCACCTGCAGCAACAAGGACCTGCCTCCAGGCACCCCAAGCCTTTGCCTGGAGGGAGCACCACCCTCCCATCCCAGGACCTGCCACAAAGCCTTCCTGAACCCCACCTTAACAGGAGTAGCTGCACCCCAGCTGGCTCCATGGGGCTGGGACAGAGGCATGGGGGGCAGGAAGGGCACCCTGCTGTTCTACTCTCCAGCTTTGTGGAGAAGGTGCCTGGGAGCTGGGGCTCATGAAGATCTATGGCTTTGCCACACTCCTCCACGGAGAGCACCCCGTTGTTATCCAGTTACTTTGAAATTGCTCTCAGCTCAAGCCAGCTTAAGGTAACATGCAAATACCAGTATTTACTCACAACACCCAAATCAGGCAACAGGGTTGCATATGTTTATAAAAGGCACACGTGACGAAATGAAAGAAAAACCACACTTGGTTTCACTTGTAGGAAGATTAGATGGAAGCAGGAGCTCGCCCCTCATCCTGCACCCCACTGCAGGTAGCACCTAGGAGGGGCTTGGCCTCCCTACATACCTGATGCTTCTTCCTGGTACTGTGCTCCAGCTTCTACAGCTCCTCTCCCCTTTGAAGTCCCTCATCAAGTTAAGACAGATTTAGATCTTTCTCCTCCAAACAAGCTGCTTTCTTTTGCAGCAGGGGAATAGTCTGTGCTCTTTAATTAGAATTATACATTGCACGGCTCCCCTGGAGGTGCAAAGGTCTTGTTTTCAGATGGGTGTCACCCCCTGTGCCTGCATGGTCCCTTAAAGATACCTGCAGGAGGGAGATCCCCTTTGCCCCTCTTCTCTCAGAAACTAAGGTGGTCTCTCCCACTGGTAACACATTTCTTGATGAAACCCACAAGGCAAGCCTCAGATTGAACTAAATAAAGATGTTATGCTCTTTGGAACAAGCATTTCTCACAAGGATCTCAGCAGGCTCCCAGCTGGGTAGGCTGCAGGTCAGCTGAGTGCAGCACATAAATAATGATAAGCCTCAGTCCACACTGACAGGCTCAACGTGGAGACAAAAAAAAAAGGAAAATGGCATAAAATACCCTCAGAAACCTTGCCTTTTTTGAGGATGTTTAAGAAAAGGGTGAACTCCTTAGAAAACCCGGCATCAGTGTGATAAGTAACAAAGATTATGCAGCAGAAAGCAGGGAAATGGTTTGCGAGATGCAGTAACAATGACAAAAAGCCCCAAGGAAAATCAGCAGTGCAAACCCTATTCTCAAAAAAACCCCAAAAAACCAAAAAAAATCCAAAAAACCAAACCAAACCCCAAACCAAACCAAAAAAGAAAACCCAAAAAACCCCCCAAAAAAAAAAAAAAAAAAAAAAATGGGACATGTCTGAAAGCAGCCTGTAGTTTTGGAGGGCCAGTTTAGCAATCCCTACTGCAAGATGGTGTGAGAAGGCAAGCACAGCGTCTGGGAGCTCATCACAGCCCTCCTACGCTGGACTGGAAATATGATGGGATGCAGAGCCCCAAGGCTCACTGCAAAACACTGCTCAACATGTGAAAGAAAATCTAAAAAACGGGATGCAGGTGCTAAAGCAATCATGCTGAAACCAGATTTTCCAAAGGGATTAGGCAGCCAAAGGTTCATAGAAGCAGCTATTTATCAATATTTTCAAGGCCCCGGAGATTTCTTGTCAATGAGAGTTATGTTTGATATTTTTATCCTCTTGTTTTTTTATTTCTGTCTCTTATCTACCACAATGCAGTGAAGCTCTTTTTTTCCCAGGTCAGCTGAGAAGATAACTCGGCTGTGCTGGAGCTGTCTGCTGCCTGTCCAATCCCTGGCAGCTCCTTTCCTGCAAGAGGCACAGAGACCACGTCTCTGCTTTTATGCAACACAGGGAGGAGGTTCCCAGCCCTGCAGCCCTCCCGGGGAGGTGCTTTCGGTCTCAAACGAGCTAATTTTAGACAACAATGAGATCCATCAGGAACAAAAGATTTTCTTTGCTGTATATCACAAACTTGTTTACAAAGTAAATAGAAAATGGTCTGTAATTTGGGCAGTCTAATTAATTATACAGTTGCAGCCTGGGGATGAAAGGTAAATGAGCTCATGAGGAGCTCAGCCTCCAGCTGTGAGGTGCAGAGAATTAGTGATGGCCAGATCCCCTTTCAGCTGCCAGCAGGTTGGTCAGTGACCTGAAGTGAAGAGACCTGCAAAGAGAAGTCACTAGGATTTTAATCACTCCTCACCAGTAGCAGGAATGCCTCAAGTGAACCTTCTCCTACCCTTACAGAAATATTCCCAGTATTTCAGTGACAGACTGAAATCCCAGTGCCTGAAATCCCAGTGCCTGCCTTAAATCCCAGCTTCACTGTCTCTATCCTCTTTGCTAGAAATTGCCTTGCCGTTTTGGGTAGGAGATGTTTATTTCGATTCAGTGAGCATTTTTGCTTTGCACAGGGAAAGAAGAATGGATTCTGTAACAGGCAGGAATTTGCATTTCAGCAGGAATGTCTAAAGCAAAGTGCATTTTGCCTGGCCTTTGAAAAAGAGAGAGCACACAGGAAATTACTGTGGGAAGCTCACATGGATGCAGTCTCAGGCATTTTTAACAGAGAAATGAATGCTACTTTAAGATGAGAAATGAGTCAGAATCAGCTAAGACAACCCTTTTAAACATCTTTCTCATTCTGTGAAATGATGTCATTTTATGCACTTTTTTGAATGTGGTTTTAGAAGTTTATTGTCTTAAGAATGAAAAAAATTGCACTGTAACTGTTAGGTCAAGCCAGCAGTGGTTTGAGACTGTATCCTGTCCCCAGGGACAGAGGTAGGACCAGCTGGCATTACTGATCTCAGCCAGTACCAGCTACACACAAGGGAAAAGAAAAAACCCAGAAATCCTTTACTTCCAGCTCCAGTTGGACTCATTCCCCTAGAGATATAGCAAGAAATAACAGATGAGCCTGACCAAGCCCAGGAGTGCCATCCCCTTCCAATTCAGCCACACTCCACAGCCAAATTTACTTTCATTTGTAAACTGAATTTACAGTTTACAAATTAGCATTTAATTTGTAAATCATGTTTCGTGTTTTTTAAACTTCAAGGGCTTCTCCAGACAAAAATGAATTGGAAAAAGATGCAAAGTTTAAAAGCTAGGGTGCCTTAAGTCCCCTCTTAGGATCCCTGTTTGGAAGGGAAGTGCCTTAGTTTGTTCAGGTGCATGATACACATGTGTTATGATGTGCACAAAGCTCAGTTCTTGAAATCATCATCAAGAGAAAGTGGACCTTTTGGGTTTGACTGGGAAAAGAGCTGTGAAGGCTTTGTATGTGGAAGGGCAGAGAACATCACCCTGTCCTTACACGTCACTGATGAGGATGACATTCAGCTTGTCTCTAGTCAAGTGTGTGGAGAAAGAAGTTAGAGGGTAGGCAAAATTAAAGATTATTAAATTGTGCCCAGGGATACATAGTCAGGCAAACAGGGAGATATGAATCCTGCCAGACAGCAACTGACTCAGAGGAAGCAGGAAAAGAGATGGGTTTGGGAAAGGTGTGAGGGATCAGCAAGTTCCTACCATGATACAAAAAACCCCCAGCAGAATATATAAGGAAGAGAAGAATAAGCAGCCCCATCAATGTGCAAGGGAAGACACATGCTGTGGGTCCCCTGTGTGCAACTTGGCCCTCTCATCCATCAACAATTTTTAATTGCTGGGAAAAGGGTTAGGATACACCTTAAAAACGCTAAGTAAAATCAGGAAGGACCTCAGTTTTTCTGGCAGAGGACAAACAATTTTCTTCGGCTCTGAAGAGCTTACAGCCCAAAGAGAAATGACAGACAAGAGGAAAAAACATTTGCAGTGAGGGAGTTGGAGAGATTAAGTGATCTGCCAAAAGTCCCAGATGCAGTTTATGACAAGTAGTGTGTTGGACATTAAGTCCAATCCCTGGCTTTTGACCCTGTGTAGCTGAAAAGCATCCAGCATCAAGTCAGGAGGTGAATCCTCACTGCTCTGTGATCAAAAGCAATGTGCTTTCAGTAACTTGGGACAAGCCTGGCCTACAGTGTACATCATCCTATCTAAATGCATCAGCAATCATGGGCAATGGGTGAGATTTACCTATGGGAAGTCCAGCAAAGACCTTGACTATGAAAACTTCCATTACTCCCGGAAACTTCATCAGGCGCAGGATTTCTCTGATGCTAAACAAGCTGCCAGACTGTGATGTGCCTGCAGAGGATGACATATGGGTTAATATTATTTTTATACAGGTTAAGGGTAGAAAGCAGGAAACTCTGAAACTCTGCTCAGGTTCAAAAACCACCCAAAACCCACCCCAAAACCACATCTCTGCTGCACCACCTTTGTGCCAGTGGCAGGAGGTGGGCAGCTGGTGCCAGGTCTGCATGCAGAGGAACCCTCTGAGACAGTGGGGTTTCCTCTCCTGTCAGACCAAACTAACCCCCAGCAAGGCCTCCACAATCACCTCTTCTGAGACTGGAAGACTGCAATTCTGCATGGCAGAAAGATCAATATATTTGGAATAATTCTCTTCCATAAGCTCAGCTTAGACATTGAAGTGTCAGCATCTCAAGGCTTTGATTTTTGCCCTTAAATGCACATCCAAGGTCCTCCAGCAGTTCTTGCAGCATGTCAATCCCCTGCCCCTTCTCATGTACTATTTTTCGGAAACACAAAATACTCACTGTGCTCTGTCATGTGATGGTCTGACTTTGGTTTAGACTGAGAAGGGATCCAAATCACTGCTATCAGAGTGTTGATGAGACTTCCCACCAGCCCAACATATGCAGGAACATAAACACTGCAAACATAAAAAATAGAGATCATTGGATAAATACCATAAACAAGGTATTTATACCTCCATCCTGCAAAGGCTTGGGCATTTAATAAGGAGCAATTCCCCTTCAAGACACAGGATGTATGGCATTGAAAGAACTCACATCCTTTCATGGATGGTTTGGGTATGACGACAGTTTGAAATTTCACCAAAAGACAGCTATTTTTATCAAGATAGTTTATAATTTTATTAATAATAGGGTATAATACAATGCTTTTAAATCTCCAAGTGTCAGGGGAAAGAAGTTTTTCTTGGTTTAATGAAGCTTAGAAATCCTCCCACAGAAAGCACAGCATCTGCTGTTAGAATCCATCTAATCCCTGCCTAATCCCCAATTTCATTAGTCTAAGTATCATCTCACTCCTTGAAATTTCTCAGTGAAATAGAATGAACTTAAGGAAAGTAATCAAGATGATTAAGGATGGTAGAATATGTCCTACAAGCAGAACTAAACCCACCAGAGAGATGATACCATTTGAAAAGGAGGCATTAAAATAAAAACACGACTACAAAACCTTCTGAGAAGGTAAACAGCATTTTGACTGATGCACTTACTTTTCTCCAAAGGTTTCCTAAACCAAACCAATATCAACTACCAAACCAACTTCAACTATCTCTCAGAATGCCAAACAGTGAATCTTTAACAGAAGTAGGGCCACATCTTTGGGTGTAGGCACAGTGAACAGAAATTATTAACTATAGCTGTACAATGATAAAAAGGAAAAATTACAACTTATCTAAAAAATGCAAACATGAAAAAGTCAATAGAGCCAGTAATTAGTCCCCAGTTATCACTGTCCTCTTAAAAGAGAAGATTAGGAAATGACTCTTCCTAGTGTTTCAAGGTATGTGGGAAGATTCCACACTCCAAAGGGCTTTAATTTTAACAAAGGCAGTAGAGCAAAGTCCAGGCCTGGAAGACTGAAACTGAGGGAAGTCAAGCTGAAAACAAAGAGAGAAGCTTGTTTTAACCGTGAGAGCAATTATCCACTAAACCAGCTCATTAAAAGTCTCCCCCATCATGAGAACCCAGTTAGTTGTAGGGTTTCCTAAAACATGGGCTTGAAACCAACCACAGGAAGCAGGTTTGGGGTGGAAATGCCCAGCCAATGCCCACATGACGCCAAAGACTGGTGTCATGTAGGCTACAAGACAAAGTGACCACCGTGGTGCCTTGGAGGCATCCAAATTTAAGCATTTTGACTTCAGCAAAGCAATGCCTGGATTTCACCAGAGAAGGCTTTGAAGTTTTGCAGATCCATGCAGACTTGGGCATGAGTATGCCATCCCTGCATTGCCAGCAGCCTGTGCTGCCACAAATAAGATGTAAAAGTGAGCTGTGAGCCCCCAGCTGATGCTCCCTGTGATCCTGCTGATGAGACACTGTTTGTTGCCTGGTTTTTTACTGCAGATTTCCCTGTCAGGCTATAGTGCATGTTTTTCATTAAATAACCAGCAGCACCAATTGTAAAAGCCTCGAGTTTCCTCCATTCTAGACAAAGGTGCAGTCTGAATAATTTCTGGAGCATTATTTAAGCCACAGAGCAAGACAGTCAAGGATTGAGATGCAAACAAGCAAGAAAAGCATTAGAGAACAAATATAAATATACATATACACACACACACACATATTCCCGCTAATAGTAACAGCTGAATATTTTAATTCTCATTAATTGTTATTAAAACAACAAAGCCAGATAGTATCTTTCTGCAAAAGGACTTAGCACAGTAATTTAGACCTGCTGCCTTCTGTCCGCCAAGTTGCTTGACTAATTAACTCAGACCACAAAATTAGTCATTTACCGGATCATTACTTTTCATTTTTAGTGCAGCAGATTGCCACTTTCTAAATTAAAATTATATGCCAAGCAGTTCCCAAACTACTGAAATCAAATTTGTGGACAAAAATTTTTATCCGAGACATCCAGAATTTCTACTTTGCATTGCAACATAAATTAAATTTACTAATAAAATAAAAAGGACAAAATAACCTAAATAAGTAGCTGCAGCTGGCTAAATGTATGGGTGTAATGGGTGGTGGGGTGGTTGTGATTTTTTTTTTTTTTTAATGTATGGGGGTGATGGGGTGGTTGTGATTTTTTTTTTTTCTGGAAGTTTTTCTATTTCAAGCTTTCATTCTGATATGTAAAAAACATCTCAAATTTTTTTATCAGCCAGAAGAACTTCCTTTCCAGCTCTACTTTTTCCTGAGGTTGTCCAGAATCCCACATACCAATGTAAATATATTTTACTCTTCACATCCAAGAAGAATTACAGTAAGCAATGACAGAAGGATCACTCTGTAAAACCACAAGCAAACATTGCCCTGTGCTTGCTTCACTGCAGGCACAGGACTGTTAATTCACTGCTGTGAAAGGGAGAGGAGAACCTTGACAATTGACATGTTTGAGAAAACTTGGGCTTGATATAACAAATTTGTGGAATTTCATACAGCTGGTTGCTGAAATCAGAGAAAACCAGTAAAATATGGAGCTCAAAACTGTGTTTCCCACACAAGCCTGAAGCAAAGTCGTCTGAAAATCCCTTTTCGTAAGCACATCTTTCTGTAAGTGTTTAATCTTTTTCCATACATTGAGCACTGTCATTCCCTGATGGAGAAGTGAGAAAGGTACACTCTCCAGTTAGCTGCTCTACTATCTCATCCTTCAGCAGGGACAAATGCTAAAATTTGACAAAACTCATCTGTGTCCTGGAAACCACCTTTTGCGTTTGTTTGTTGGCTCATTTGAGAGAGATGAAGTGCAACCAAGGAAGGTGGTGGTAGGAATACTTTGCTGGGTTGGTAGCACCTGCTGAACAAGAGCTGGCTCATGGTCACTCATCTGGGTTTTTTTTTTTTATTTTAAAATAAAATACCAGCCAGAGTCCTTTTGCATTCAGTTTTGTGTTTGGCTTATCAGGAGGAAGCCTCACCAGGAAGGGATGCAGTGGCACTATTCAGCTAAATGAAGTATATCAAGCAGGTTGCTCCCGTGGGACCTTTTCCCATCTTCTTCCCCTTCCTGCTCTCCCTCTCATCCCTCCTGGCTGTCCACAAACCAGCCATGTGGAACCAGTGAGCCCTGCCAAACCCAGCAGCAGATTTCCTGAGCAGGGCGGAAGAACAAAGGCTGCGGGCAGGACTAATACAATTAAATTAAATGGAGCAAAAGGGCACAGCAGCTTTGGCAGCTGAGCTCATTGTATGGCCTTTTCCAGCTTCTTGTTGATTAATGAGAGATTAAGCACCTTTACTGTCCTGGGCTTTATGGTCAAAATAACTTGGGTAACTTTATACTTCATCATGTTATTTATAATTTCTCTGCTTTTTAATCTGTGGAGAGAGCCCCTTCCTGACTTTTGTCAGCAGCCTCCTCAGTCTTCCCTGGGGACTTCTGCTAGCAAAGCCCCTTTCAGCTGTCAGCTAAAACCACAGCTGCCCATATTATTTTTGTTTTTTTCCAGCTTTGCCATGAAGCAGAGGAATAAAGTGCATTTTACTGTCCTGCATGGGACCATTGTATCCCAATCTCCTGCTTTCAGGAGGATGCAAACATTTTGGCTGCAGGGAGCAAACACTTGAATCTAGGACTAGGAGGAACTAGGGTCAAGGAGAACTAGTTTTTGCCAACATGACTAGCTGCAGCTTGTCCTGACTTAAATTTTTCAGAGAAACAGGAAGAGAACATGAGCAGAGGGACCTGGAGGCCAGGAGACTGTAACATCAGCCAAGAACTGCTTAATAACCTAACAAAAGCCTCTCCTTTTCACTTTCCTGAAGCCAATAGGTAAAATGTGGTGGATGTATTTAAAGCATTCTTTTAAAGAGTTTTAAAGGGTTTCAAAAAGTGGGATGGCCACTTGCCGCAGGACCCATGGTGTGGTCCAGTGCAAGGCTCACTTGGTAGCCTGTGGCCATGGAGAAGGGACAAGTGGCTGGCAGCTAAAATTATCCATCTGGAAACTCCATCCTAAATGCTGGTGGGAAAGCAGAACTGATGTTGAAACCATTAATAGTAATGTACTGGAAAACAGACTGACCCTCCAAAAAAATCCTAGGATCCAAAGCCAGCTGGAGGAGGGTTGCATTTCTTCCCATCTAACACTTAACCAGCCCCTCTATTTACTGGCAGGTAAATCCCAACTTTCACCTCCCAAGGGCAGCAAAGTGAGGAGCTAATCCATGTTCCTTCATAACCTGCTCCCATCAGGGTCAATTAGTATGAGCCAAATGAATGCAATTAGTTCAGTTTCTGAATCAAGACACAACAGTAACACAGCAAGGCAGTAACACAGAGGCTCTCCAACTCCTGTCACCTGCCCCAAAGTCAGAGGTGGCACACATGCAGCATCTGAAAAACCTGGAAAACTTTAGAGCAAATGCAGCTCTTGGAAAGCAGGGTCTGGCCACAAAAGAATGTGTGGATGTGTACAGGTACATACATAGGTACAAATACACGTGCAGAGCATTTCACAGTAGCTTTGAAGCAAGGCTTTCAGCAAAACTTGCATGAAACACTCAATCTCACAAAGGCATATGCAGCATGCAGGCACCAGGCAGTGGACCAGGAGCAGAAGAGGCCACTGGCTAGGCATTTGCAGGCATATTTCCAGGCATATTTTCAGCTCACAGACAGGGAGCTTGAGCAGAGCCCCAGCTGGTACCTGCCAGCCACAACCCCAGGCAGTGCCAAGCAGGGATTGGGCACTGGAACCTCCTGCCTCCACCAAGGGCAGCTACAACAAACCAACAGGGGCCATAATTTTGGGCTCCAGCCCAAATTCCAGTCCTTGCTCAGCTGCAATTCCCATCTTTGCCTGCCTGAGAAGCCTGGGACAGACCATGGAGGCAGGTACCTAGGGGGAGGCTGCCTGTGCCAACGAGATGGTATCAGTGGCTTTCCCATTAGCATTCCAGCCACAGAGCCCTGCTCTGCAGAGCCCAGGAGAAGAACGCACGCGTG